TGCTTACAACTACACAAACAGAAAGAAAATGACTACGGTATTGAAGAAGTACATTCCCATTCACTGTGGGAATGTTCTCTTGTCCGAATACATACTCAATTTTTCCTTAAAATATAGAACAACTTTTCTGTAGGGATTTAATTATAACAAAATAAATATGCTGGTTGTGATTCTACAAGGCCTTTTAACCCTTTTAGCATCCTATCTTATTTTGCAGAAACCCAATTCCACATACAAAATAATGTTTCTCACTTAAAGCATTTTCAATAGAAAAATTTGGGAACAAGCAACTCACAAAATACTCTGCCATGAAATTTCAAAATGTTAAATATCACACAGGATTTGATATTTTGAGTATGCTATTGTTTTGCAAAAAGAAAATATACTTGCCCAAACATTTTTTAGCTCTCAAAAGTTATAGATCCTGGAAGGTACACATACTATTTGTTCCGAAAAACTAACACATTAAATAACATAACAGACCACAGAACTAGAAGCTATAATGCAAATGCATTTAACTATGTCTGAGAATTAAGCAATAGTACCTCCCTGTGCCACAAGGATAGCCACCCAATCAGTAGCTACAAATCCCTATTTTTCATCCAATAATTCTGCATAAAATATTGGAGTTGCTTTTCAGAAAATAAGCATTCCCCAGCTCTAAAAAGAACCAGTAAAAAAACCAGCACAGCATCAGTAGACTTAACAGATTCGCATTCTCCTTATCCCCATTGTCTGGGTCAGGAACTGCTTGGCCATTATAGCTGCTTTAGTCCAAAATGCTTCTGGCAGGTCAAACAGTGCAATAGTTTCAGCATCAGGGAAGCACAAGAGTCCCATTTCATTTTTCCTAATGACCAGCCTTAAATGACTACAGGTCTTAACAGTGCTGGCAAATTATCAAGGCCTTGTACATTACATGGTCAATGGTCCTTTTAATAGAAAAAGCAATAATATATAGTTGTTTGTGCCAAGCAAAACTCGTTAGAAAGTATTAGTTTAAGATAACAGTTCAGGAGCTATTAACAACTACAAATGTTTGTGTAAACAACTCCCCTCCCTTCTCCCTTCTAGTGAGCTGCAAAAGATGAGGGACATGCAAGAAATAAATTCTGCATTTTGTACCATAAGTGACTTGGTAATGTGTTATTAAAGTTCAGTACATTTGGAGAAGACTGAGTTACGCTTCTGTAAGCTGGAATGTAGACTGTAAGATGGTTAAAGGAAATCATACAGTCGTGGACAATGAAGAAAAAAACAGATAATGTCATATAGGCACAGCAGGAAGTATTTCTAGATAGAATTGAAATAAACCAACACTCTCAAACAAAAGTCAAACATTGCCAATAATCACTTTTATTTTTTCATACTAGCATAACACGAGAATTGACTTTGTGTCTTGCTGACATAGCAACTAAGAAAGTCGTGTTACATTGACCATTATTGATTGCAAGCAATGCAAGCTGGGGGGGGGGGGGGGGGGAACGACACCTACACCATACCATATATTTTCAATATTGACCTTCCTCTCCTTTTGTATGGCTCTTTGGGCTGGCTATTGAATTTGGACGGCAGTGTAATAAACAGCTGAGGTTTAATTAATGGTAAATGAATACAAGACACAGGTTATGACTTTAACTAATTAGGGAATTGTTGAATTAAGTCTGCCTTGGAATGCAAGGCAGTACAATCAATACCCAATAAAAGGACTATGTATGTAATTTACCTGCAAATGTGTTTCCAATACCATCAAAGTGAGTTTAAATAAGTAAGATATATGAAAGTCTACCAGAAAAAAAGTTTTTTTTAAGTTAACACTTCACATAGCTTATAGAACAATGAGAGTAATATAACTACTTTAATATAAAAGAGCCCACAGACTCAGTGCAAGAGAAGTAGTAAATGAAACAATAACCAAATCTAGTAACAGCAAAACGATGGACTGCAAGATTAGCAAGTGTTGTGGTTGAACGTTTGGTATGAGGAGGTAGGAAACTAGTTAGGGAGGAGCAGCATGTGAAAGATATGCATTCTCCTATTCTTTGTGCATACTGGACACACTGAGAAGCTTTATATCAAACCAGTTAGCTCTGGTTGGGGACCAGCCTTGTTTTTAGGCTCTAAGTATCCAAATAATCCCCATTAGGGAAGCTTACACCTTTCCAGTCTGTTTCTCTAGAAACATGACTAAATTCTAACTTTTCGGAAGGTTTGTGTAAATGCTTTGGTCTTTTAACATATATTTCAGAAGTGATATTGTGCAGTTTCACCTAGTCCACATATACGGATCGTCTTTACTTAATAACCATTCAGTGACTGTTCAGTGACCATTTGAACTTCAGATGATTCTGAATAAGTGGCAAGTATGCTCCTCATACTTAAAACAGTCACAGCATCCCACAACCATGTGGTCACAATCTGGGTGTTTGGTGAATAGTTTGTAATCATGGCATTAGCAAGGTCACCGGGTCACCATTGGCGACTTTGTGCACTAGCTTCCTACAAGCAAAGTCAGTCGCAAATAGTGATATATCACATTTAACAACATTGCAAGATTCGCTTAATGACAGCAACTGGAAACGCTGCAACTTCCATTGCTAAATGACATAGTCGCATATTACATTTTACAATAGCTTTGCTCAGTAGCAGAAATTCTTTTTGCAATTACTATTGTTAAATGAGGCTGACCCGTGTTTAAACTTTTTAATTCATTATATTGTTGGTTGCCTTAGATCCATTGACAAGAGCAATTGAAATAGTATGGCCATCAGGAAACCAGTCCTCCTCCACAACTGCTGATGAGACAATGACTAGGTTCACAGATAATATCTATCCATTATGTACTTGACAACAACTCACTGAATGAACAACAATGTAGCATATTATGTAAGCTCAAATTCAATCAATCAAACCACAAAATTGTGGAATCCCCCACAATTTGATCTCATAAAATACTTTTGAAATTTTGAAAGCATATTGCGGATTGTTGCACAAAATGGCTCTGAGGGATGGGGGATTATTTGTTCAAAAGAGGTTGTCATGACCTAGTACAGCATGCTATCAGCCACTTCCCTCTAGCCCTCCTTGCTACCCCTTATTTTTGTTTTCCGAGGTTAATGGCTGGATTTTCAATTCCAGGTCCTTTCCCTTAAATGTTCCCACTTAATGCAACCTTGAAGGCATGTCTTCTTCATGACTGCCCCAGCTCCCTGGAACAGTCTTCCACCTGAGTTTAGAGGGATCGTTACCTTTAATTAGCCTTGGGGGAGGGGCTTTAAAGAGCTGGTTCTTCCTGAGCATTTGGTTACAATGGGGGTTGAGTTTCAAGGATGCCTGATGTGGCGGGAAACAGTACTTTTGTTTTTAACCATGTTTTGGGGGATTGTCACTAAGTGACTAAAGTCACTGTATGAGAGAAGTGATATATAATACCAGTAAATAAATAATCAATCAATCAGTAGGATGCAGCCATCCTTATTTATATGTTCTAGTAATCTTTATACAGCCCATTTCATTTTCTAAGGAAATTTAGCAGTCCTCTAATGGCGAAAAAATGATATGAGAATGTTGCTTTTCAACATGTCAGTTTCCAATTTTTAATTAAGATATTTTTTTTAAATATGTAAGAAACTAGCTAGGCAGAGAGACTTACCATACCAAGAAATTTCAGAAAGATATGAATTTAGTCACTGAGTACTTGCAAAAGAAGAGACAGGTGGCCTAAAGATCAACTTAACGTAGGCTTTCATGTATGAAAGGGTCAACTGTAGTTGACTACAAGTCTCAGTCCCCAGTCAGCATGGCCACAATAACTGGCACCACACTGCATAAAAATCTCTTTTGCTGAAGTGGGAAGACCCAAGTTGAAGATATCAGAGAATTTCAGGCCAATGTTGGAGAGAAACCACCTGAGTTGGGAAGAGGATTCAAGTGGGGCATTATTCTGGACTCACTACATAAACATAAGAGAGCCTTTGAGCCTTAGGCTAGGGTTTCCCATGCAGAAATTGCCAGTTTGGGCAGATTCCTGTGAAATAGGCATAGAGCAATAAAGTAGCTAGTTTGAGCTCTACATAAGTGGGTCTAGTTATTCATGCCTGACAGCCAATCACTATCTCTCTGACTAATCTAGGCAATGTAGTATTGATGGGATAAAAATTGGACAGAGTATTTTCTGCTGCCTTGAACTTCTGGAGAAAAAAAAAGAGGCCAATATATTGAACAAAAAAAATTAGAGACTTCTACAAGCAGTCCTCCACTTACATCAGTTCATTTAGTGACCATTCAAAGTTACACCACTGAAAAAAGTGACATGACCATCTTTCCCACTTATGACCTTTGCAGCATCCCCATGGTCACATGATTTTCATTTGGATACTTAACAACTGGTTCATATTTATGACAGTTGCAGTGTCCTGGAGTCACATGGTCCCTTTTTGCGACCTTCTGACAAGCAAATTGAATGGGGAAGCCAGATTCACTTAACAACCATGTTATTAATTTAACAATTGCAGTGATTCACTTAACAAATGTGGCAAGAAAAGTCATAAAATGGGGCAATAGTGAAACTTTAGAAATTTCTCACATAGCAACATAAATTCTTCACTCAATTGTGGTTGTAAGTAAAGGACTACTTGTGGTTGTATGGTTCAGTACTTCTCATTCAGACTGTAGATTGTTCTTTTTACCCAATCAGCAGTCCAGACAAAGCATGGAACTGGCTTCTAGCCTAAGAAGCACACAGTACAAACTCCACAGTGAAAGATTCCAGAAATATTCTCAGGACCCATGCTGGCAAAAAAAGGTTCACCTTTTGCAATAGCACGAATAACTACATTCATCTTAATAGGACAGAAAGTTATCACATGCAAAAGCCACTTCAGCTTTACTGAGAGCCACCATTGCTCCCATGTTTCACAAATTCAGCAAGTAATTTCTGAAGTGTTTGAAACTGGAAAGGAGGAAGGGGGAGTGGAGGAAAAGAGATGAAAGAAACTAACCGACTCCCTTGTGTGCATCTATGCTGGTAAATTCCATTGTACCATTATGGCTCCTTTTAGGATTTTCCTGATATTCTTTGTGGTTCCCACTGGGACAATATCTGTAGGCGAGTCCATAATCAGCAAGATAAACCTGGAAGACATGAGCAGAGACATGAATGATGCTTTCGTCCTCTGAAAAAGTATAACCTTTCTAATTAAGCCAGAAGAAAATGGTGGCTTAAGGACACTGTTAGATCTGCATTTTATTAAGCCAAATTGCACCCCAGGATAAAATATGTACATCTGGGGGCTATTAACAGCTACTTTCCCCTTCTAAGTTGTGTGCCTTCTATGCGCTGCCTTATTTCCAAGCAATACAGAATAAAATCACATTTTGTTCTTAGGCTTCTTTCTCTCCAGGTGGGCATCCAGACATCATAAAATGCAGTATGTCTTTTATCTTTCTTCATGCTGCTTATGGGAGCCTTCCTTCTCATAAAACACACTCACATACAGATCCCACCTTTCAACAACCAGCCTTGCAACAAGTTCAAGATGGGTTCAGTTATAGGCAAGAACACAAAGGAAAAGTTTCGCAAACACCCATTGTGTTAACATACCAATTTCCTCCCCAGAAAGCATTCTAGAGGAATACTCTACAATTGAAGAGCTGCTTTTCAGAACTTTTCTAAGGCACTACTATCCCCCAAAGTGAACATGGTATTATCCTGAAAAGGTGGGTTCTGCAATACCTGGATTTGACACAGATTACTAAAACAAGAGTGCCAATTTGGTGTAGTAATTAGGACGTCAGGCTAGAAACCAGGACAAAGTGAGTCCTAGTCCTGCCTTAGACACTTTCTCTCAGCCCTAGGAAGCAGGCAATACAAACTACTTCTGAAAAACCTTGCCAAGAAAACCATAAGAACTTGTCCAGTTAAATCTACAACTTTTGGACATAATTAAACGGAGGGAGAGGGAGAAGCAAAATTAAAATGAAACAGAAATCCAAAGACAGAAACCTAAGCAATACCAACTGACCTCTTAACATCTTATTTTTATCTTATGGCACTTACATTCAGTGAGAAAAATCACCCTGATATGTTAATGGTAGGAATTTCTTTCTTAATCAGTTTAACTTTTTTTATTTAATAGAAAAACATCTTAATATTAACATATAAATAACCATGGAATTGCAAAAATAAAACAATTTAAACTTATAAACTATCACAGAATGTAAGACCTATGCTTTAAAACATTTTGTTTCTAAAGCAGAGTACGATTTTGAAACAAGGAACAGTTGGCCAAGTGGGGAAAGAGAAAAGTCCTGTTTTGGCATATTCTTTACCTACTTCTCCAATGGAATGCTTTCCATTTCCGCATGTATAATATCAAATTTTGAAGGAAGTGTTGAGGTAATTCCCCGTTAGGAGAATGAGCGCATACAGGGAGACGTATAGAAAGTAGTGTTTGAATAATACACACACAGCACACAGATACACTGTAGAGTAAATGTAGGGTTTTACTTCCAGAAACGTTAAGCAAAGTTCAAAATAGGCAGTCCAAAGTCATTCACAGGTAAGATCAGTCAGTTTTTTGTCCAGGGATAATCCAAATATCAAAGTCCAGTGTCAAAAACAGTTCAGTATCAGACTTACATCAAATCCAGTAATATCAGTCAATTAGAAGAAATGGAGGAACAGCAATACTTTCCAACAGAATGAAAACAGAGACTCACTCAGACACACTCTCTTCTGAGACTAAGATAACCCAGGTTTCTGGCTCCGTCTTATGGCCGTTTGAGAAACCACACCCAATTACATTTTGCATTTTCTTAAAGATAACAGTTTTAAAATGTCTATGCTGGTTTATATATTTCCATCCCAAATAGCTGTTAGGTTGCTTACATTCCTAACAGGAAGTATACTCTCTATTTGCACGTCATGTTTCAGTGCATTATAAGAATTAGGACAAAAATAATTCAGCCAGATCAAAAAAAGGCCCATCTTAGAATATTTTGTTTTTCACAGAAGCAACTAGTTGCAGGTAAAAGAGAGATATTTCTTCCTACCGTTGTTCCCCTGAATTGGTGTTTACAAGCATACTATTCTCGACTCAAAAGCAACATTAGCATTTTCTCCTTAGTAAATTCTAGCCTCACCCATTATATCAGTCTGCTGCCACTACTAGTTTGGTAGAACAACAGCTGTATACTTTAAAGTCTACAAGGGAGATCCTGCCTTAGACTTTTAAAGACTTAAGGTTTTTTTTTAAAAAACTAATAAAAGAAGTCTATGGAGAAACAGCATGTTCTGCTTTTTCCAAGAACTGTCTTTTAAGACTACAGCTTTTGACAGACTTGTTCTCAAGAATTTATCCCATCTTTCTTTACAACATCCAAATTAGTGATCACTGCATTATTTTGTGTAAATTCCACAAGTTAATTTTTAAAAATAATAAGAAACAAAAAATAAAGATCTTGGTAGTATATTGATACAAATGGAATGCCAGAAAGAAAGAAAAATATGTTGCAGAAAAGTATCACTTTTTTACTTGCACTTACACCCCTGTAAAATCTCAGATGTGCAACTCCATCTGGGCCAAGCTATGAATGATGTTTCAAAGGTTATTCTTTAAATAACAGTGCAAAGATGAAGAAGCAGGATAAAAATATAATTTAATTTCCTTTCATTCAACATTCAATTAATACAATCAATTAAGAGAAAAGTACATTTGATTACCTTAGTTATAGCTGTGCAGAATGCAACATTTCTTGTGAATGATATGGACAGTATGATCAGTTATGGCAAAAATTGGGCTGCCTGTTGCATGTGCAACCAAAGCCAAGTGGACATACACTTTCATTAAAGCAAGGATCTCTAAATAATACTTGCAAACCAATGCACTGAGACGACTTTGATATAGTAGATAAGGCATAAGGCATACAATTAAAACCCAAGAAATTGAGTTCTACCCCTGCCTGAGACTTGTAGTCAGCTAAATGACATTGGGTCAGCCCTAGGGATGAGGCAAGGCAAAGCACTTCTGAAATCTTGCCAAGAAAACTGCAGGCCTTGTCCAGGAGTCAAATACTGATTCAAGAGCACCAAAGCAATAACAACAGTCCACTACTGCCTGCATCCCATCAAGATGCATACAATGTACAGACACACTCAAGAGAGGTGAGTACTATGTTTAGAAAAGCATAGTGGCGTGAACATGTCATTTAAGAGACATGTAGTAATAATAATAATAATAATAATAAATTCATCAAGGAAGTCAGGGTTAGATAATGTTGAGATCCTCAAAAAAAAAAAAAGATAAGAAAAAACAGTGTTTATGAATAGAAGTATGGTGAATATGAACTTTATTAAGATTTTTCTTTCTTATGTCTTGCTTCTGATTTGTTCTGCTTGCTATTTTTACAGTTTTTCTATGCTACTGTATAACGCTACTTGCCTCAAAAAAGAACATGATGTCTATGCAGGCATGTCTTAATAAATATATTCTTCCATTTCATAATTTTATATTTCTGTCATAGTAAAAGTTATAATTAGATGCAACTTCTGGGATCCTCTGAGTATTGCACTCAAAGCTTTTGTGGGCTGCCCTCTAATTTTACACTTTTGCTGTTCTTCATTCAATGAAGTCTTTCAAAGCATTAATGGATAGTAGAAGGATGAAACTGGCAGTATATAAATTTAATAAATATATGTCTCTTAATGAAGGGCAAAAATGGTGCCCATCAAGTATACATTTACAAATCCACATGATGAAGGAAATATTTTAACTATCCAAAATTCAACAAGGATTGTTATTAAAACTTTTAAAATGGCATTTGCAACTTAATGAGAAACTATTTAGCATAAGTTGAAAGTATCCTTATACTGCACATACACAATACAGTTTGGAAATAACTGTTTTCACACACAGCCAGCCATGTAGGTGCTGTGAGTTGGGAAAGAGGGAAGTAGGAAACAGTTTTAATTTATGATCTACTATACTGAAGAAACTATTTTTTATATCACTCCGAAAAGAACAATCCCGTGAAACTATTTTTGTTCTTCCTCGGAAGTTTGTTCCTGTCCTAAAACAATATGCACATCTCAAGAAATGACCTTCTCTTAATTATGTTGCTCTTGATACTCTTTCTCTGATCTTTTTTTTTCAAAGTAAAAGGTAAATAAGCAAGTTATCTTGTAACTGATTCCATTAAAATGATTAGCTCCTCTTTGGGCTTCAGGCAAGCTTTGCAGTCTTGGGACTGCTGAAGTGACAGGTTTTAAAAATATAATTTCTTGTTGCAGCATCTCCTATGCATATTTAGAATGTGGAACCAGGAGCACAGTGCTCTTTTTTCATGGGATCATTCTTTTCAGATTACACCAGTGCATATCTCATCCAACAGATCTATAGAGATTATGATATGAAGGCTGAAGATTGGATGCAGCATCTGGAATTCTCAGAAAAGACAAAAAGTTTTATCAGGCTGACTGACTGCCTCTATTTGCTCTTGCATTTTCTGCTGAATTCACTTTGCTTAGTATTCAACCCAGCCAAGCCAGAAGACAATAATGTATCTAATCAATGTGACAGAAAACCCAACTTAATGGAATTGACTGAAGCAACTATACTACTGAGCTTATCAATTTAAGATATAGCCTAATTTCAGTGTAATGTTGACATGAAGAGGAGTAATTACAGGAGTAATTATTTAATCTAATGTACCAAGAATAGGAGAGGAAGTCACAATAAAACTAAAGCAGGGCTGTCACACTGGCCACGCCTGGTTTAGCAAAGGGGGAAAAAGTCACAATAGATCACATGACACCATTGTTACAACATGAGTTTGACGCCCCTGGTCTAAAGATGATGATGACATCACTGCTACTGCAGTGTAGCTAAGGAAATCAGCAGTCTAGGAAGCTAAAGAATGACATATTTTTTATTTTCAAGGGAAGTAGGGAAAATTAACAGTTATGGATACTTAAGTGATGCAGATCTTTACCAGATTAGAACAAGGGCCCCACAAATTAATTATTCTTGATATTGAATTTATGTATCATCCTAAGCCATAATGTGGCTAATTTTGATTTGGTTTAGTGTGTTGTGTAAATCCAGTCAGTGTTATCTATAGATCATGACAGACAAATAGCGTATTATGTGAAACAAACCAACTGTGACTTATGCAACAAACTATATTTTGTTGAAACGAAATTGTGGGCGCTCTATCACTGTAGGTTTTTAAGAAGAGATTGGACATCCATTTGTCTGAAATGGTATAGGATGTCCTGCCTGAGCAAGGGGTTGCGCTAGAAGACCTCCAAGGTCCCTTCCAGTTCTGTTATTCTATTATGTATTCTGGAATACTCAATAGAAAAGAAAAAGAGGGGAAGACTCTTCACGTGTGAGAATTTTATACATACACAGAGAATCCAACTTAAATCTTTAGAATTTACAAGCGCCAACCTTATCAGATAAAAATTATTTATTATAAAACAATATAGGCCTGGTTTTATTGCACAGCATTAAGTAGTAAGAGAATTAAAACCACTTTTTTGTATTATTGCAATAAATTACTATTAATAGCACTAAAATACAAATACTGTCTTCAAATCCATTATAAGGAAAATGCAGTACTGGGAAAGACTTTCGCCTACCTTTTTATACAACAGCATTCCAAACAACACATTCTAAATAAATGCTCTGCAATGACCTCCGGGAAACCAAAAATGTGTTTTTAAATATTCACATACATGCTTCAATTATCCAGGTTCAAGTTTTTTACTCACCATATTTAAAAGGCAAAGTATCCACAGGGTAGCAGAACACAGTTTGAACAAAAACATAACAAAAACATGGGAAGTATTTCACCTTTCATTTTTTTTAGTCAATGGAGATGCCATATAAACCTGATGAGATATATTGCTTTGTTAGCACAGTAATAAATTTAGATCACCAGTATATTAGGAGGCCAACTTAATTAGGCCGCAGAACTCAATGACAGCGTTATTAGCAGTAAAACGGCAATCAACTGCAGCTCAAGATGTAAAACTTGATCTTCCCAAAGCATTTATCCCTGGGGGCAAGGAGTTCTGATTGACTTCTAGGCCATTTGTAAGCAGGGAGCCTGATCCAGCTGTCCCATGCAGAGACAAAATCATTCTTTGTTGAAGTTGAAGGGATTACTCAGCACACAAGTCTCACAGCTATACCATATTTTTTTACATTGCAAAACATACTTAAGTGTCTAATTGTACACTTCAAAATTCAACTATGTTTTTTCTGTCTATATTTTCTGTAAATTTCTGTAAAATAATTTGCATTATTTTGAAGCAAAATAAAAAGTTATTCTGTAGTCTATATTTAAAAGTACATATTAATGCCCATGCAGTTGTCTCCTATTTAAAAGTATAATTGAATCTTCTCCACTAAAACTTAATACAAAAAAACAACAACCCAATGTCAGTATCTCAAAAGCAGTTGTTCAACAGAGTTTGTCAAGAACATCTTTTTTTTGAAAATAGTCATTAAAGACTATGCTGCAATCAGAACTAGGAATAACATGGTTGAATCTGAGTCATCACAGTTGCTCACTAGAGGGTACTGAAATTAATGACGTTTGAGGACTTTGAATCTGTAGATTCCCACATTAAATGTTTCCAATTAAAAAATACTTTCTTTTAAGGTAGGAATTTCCTGAACCTATCACTGTGATTTTCTTTGGCAAGTGAAGTTTATTCAGTAAATCTGCCATAAGCAAAGTAACCAGCAACTATGAATGCCTTTAACACTAGATTTGGCAACTGGCACTAGCCTCTCAATTTGTCAACTATGACAGAGGTAAACAGAAGTGAAATACTTTTCAACTGGTAAAATGTGCATTTTCAGCATGCTAATTAGCTCTACATGCATTTTCTCATGTTGATTTCAATGCATCTATATGAAAAAAGCACATAGAGCAATTTCCTTCACATGTATAAACAAGACATCTAATTCTTAGAGCCATGAAAGAGTCAGGTGTTTGGTAAAGTTTTGGTAACAAATCACTTCATTGAGCTACTACATAGAATAAGAATTTGTAAATCAGACTGTGAATTTTATCTGAATAACAACACAAACCCCTCATGCTTTCTTCTTCTTAGCAACAATGCATGTAGTTTAAGCAACAACCAACTCTACATCCTGATTTTTTTACAAAATTGAAGAACATTTAATAATGAAAAATTAGATGTATGGATAGGGGATACAATATATTTATTTACCTCATGTGGATTTTTGTAGTCCAAAAGTAAGTTTGCTGCTTTAATATCCCCATGCACATATTCATTTTCATGAATATATTCTAAGACATCCAGCTAATGGGCAAGGAGAGACTGTATTACAAAGGAAACTAGTATTTGTATTTTTATTACAATTACCCCCGCAATATTATTTAAAGACTTAACAAATTTTATCAAATAAAGGAAGGGAAATATTACAGGTAGTCTTCAACTTACAATTTACTATTGAGCCCAAATTTTCTGTTGCTAAGCATATTCGCTAAGTGAATTTTGCACTATTTTGTGACCTTGCCACAGATCTTAAGTGAATCATTGCAGTTTTTAAGTTAGTAGTAATTGTCTGGCTTCCCAATTGACTTTGCTTGTCAGAAGATTGCAAAAGGATCCTAGGCTACATCAACCATCATAACTGTGAGTCAATTGCCAAGCTTATGAATTCTGATCACTGACCATGGGGAAGCCACAATGGTCTTAAATATGAAAAACGGTCATAAGTCACTTTCTTCAGTGCCATTTTGAACAATCAGTAAATGAACTGTAAGTTGAGGACTATCCATAGAAACAAATAAAGTAATAACTAGCAGCCAGCACAGGATTGTTAAAAATAGACCATGCCATACCAATCTTATTTTATTCTTTAACAGTGACTAAATTGGTAGACAAGTGAAATACTGTGGACAAAATATACTTAGATTTCAGCAAGGTATTTGATAAAGTAGACCACAACCTACTTTTTGGTAAGCTAGGAAAAATTGGGATAGATAGCACTACCACCAGATAGATTTGCAACTAGCTGACAAACTGTACTTAAGGAGTAGTCCTTAATGTGTCTAAGTCTACATGGAGGGAAGTAAGCAGCAGGGTGCCACAAGGTTCCGCCTTAGACCCAGTACTCTTCAATATCTTCATTAACGATTTAGATGAGGTAATAGAAACTTACCAAATTTGCAGATGATACTAAACTGGCAGGAATAGCTAACACCCAAGAAAATAGACTCAAGATCCAGATGGATCTTGACAGACTAGAACACTGGCTGTATCTAACAAAATGAAATTCAATGTAGAGAAAAGTAAAGTCCTACACTTAGGCAAGAAAAACCAAAAGTACACATACAGACTGGGTGAAACCAGGCTTAATAGCAGTAACTGTGACAGATATCTTGGAGTCTAACTATGAGCCAGCTAAATATGAGCCAGCAGTGTGCAGCAGCAGCCAAAAAGGGTAATGCAATCTTAAGTTGTATTAACAGAGGGATACAATCGAGATCAAGTGAGGTATTAATACCACTCTATAAAGCCTTAGTAAAACCACACGTAGAGTACTGCATCCAGTTCTGATCACCACACTATAAAAAAGATGTTGAGACTCTAGAAAAAATATAGAGAAGAGCAACCAGGATGATTAGGGGACTGGAGACTAAAACATATGAAGAACGGTTACAGGAACTGGGCATGGCTAGTCTAGTGAAGAGAAGGGCCAGGGGAGACATGATAGCAGTGTTTCAATATTTGAAGGGCTGCCACAGAGAGGAAGGGGTCAAGCTATTTTCTAAAGCACCTGTAGGCCAGACAACGAATAAAGTATGGAAAATGAACAAGGAGAGATTTAACCTGGAAATAAGGAGAAACTTTCTGACAATGAGAACAATTAACCAATGGAACAGCTTGCCCTCGGAAGTTGTGGGAGGGTCATCACTTGAGACTTTCAAGATATTGTACTACCATTTGTCAGAAATGGTGTAGGGTCTCTCGCTTGGGCGGGGGGGGGTCCCTTCCAACTCTGATTATCTGTTATCTGTTATCATATTTTGGAGAAAAACATATTTCTTAATGCAGAGTGAAAAGGCAAAGTAAGCTATTTAATTAAACTAATATATAATACTTTGATAGTATACTTTGAATAATCACTTAAAAGGGGCGAGTAGAGGCAAATAGCCAATTTTTAGATTTCAAGTAATAAAAATACATGTAAATCATGATAGACTAAAAAAATCTTTTAAATATGAAATGCAGACGCTCAGCTCAAGTTTTAATTAATTAGTTTCAAATCATTACAACAGAGGAAGAGAAGTATGGAGAAAGTCCTCCTCCTTTGTAGTCATTCTTTCAAGCAAAATTAAACAGACCATTTAAAAATACATATGAAAGACAGTACTTAAAACTCAAAAGGTCCATTGATCCCCATCCCAGGCTTACTCTGAGGTTTTATACCTACCACCTGCATCCCAATATGCAGAACAGTTTCATTGTAAAATTTTCTCCCTTGTCTTTCAAAGATAGTTTGAAGATCTTCTCCTAATCTTTCCATCACCATAAATCTGTAACTAATATAGTATGACCACAAAGAAAAACAATGAGAACATACTGCCCTTACATAAAAAGTCAACAACAAAAGTATATGAGTGTAATAAACTGATTTGTTTTACTAGATTAGATATTAATCCACCTAATGTAGCAGCAGTCTCCAAGATGTTACACGAAGCATATCCTTCTTTCACATTATCTTAAAGTGTTTCCTCATTACTTTCAAGAAAGGTCTATTAAAATTCCCTATCCCAGAATTCTTGTCCAGCTCTGCTGTATTGTAATGTCTTCCTTACCTTTTACCAAGATGTTTGACTTGGCCTGATCCCAAGAAAACAGGAACGCCTAAAAATGTTAGTTGCTTCATCTTCATCCATTTTTTGACTGACAAAACATGAGAGGAAACCAAGTTCTTTAAAACTGTCCAGCTTTTTAAAAATAAAACATAACATAACTATGATTTTTTGAGATACTACAATACAATGTTATGAAAATATATATTTTCATACATGTCATACAGAGGGTGGGGGGGGGGGGAGAGAGAGAGATCTAGTTGGGAAGATACATTTGCTAAAAGTAACACTGAAATAAAGTTAAATTTTCATAAGTGATTATTCCAAAGCTATTATTCCTGAAAAAATATTATTAATAGCCAGGGGTGAAATTAAAATTTTTCCCCTACTGGCTGTGTGGGCTTGGCTATGGGTGTGGCTTGTTATACTTGGTATAATAGTAATAGCAATTGGGGTGATGTTTTTATTGATTCAAATTGTCCCTACCATCTCTCCCGAGGTGGGCCACGGTGGTTGAATTTCACCCCTGATAATAGATTGATATAGGACACTTCTGTTGACTGACTTACTGTTTTCTTGTTTTGCTGCTCGTTGGTAGAATTTCAGTTCTGCAAACAAGGGTCCATTTTCAAGATATTCCTATACGGATATATATAAAAAAGCACAAAGTTTCATGTCAATTACACATAATTTAATGTTACATATAAATAGGGAGAAGTGTTAAGAAGTGGAGCTTGATGAGGAGAAAGGACAACCACACATCAGATTTGTCTAGTCACCCCATCTAGATTTTGTTTGATTTGAAATCCAGAAAAACCAAGCATTCTTTGGTCCAGTTCTGCTTAACTATGCTTGGCTTGAACAGTCTCGCATAATTTTGTAAAGAAGACCTTTTGTCTGGATTATTAAAAAAAATTCTATGTTTTCTGTATAACTCTTGTGCGGATAATGCCTTCCAACTATATATTGCACAATTTTCAAAAAGGAATCAAACCACTGGTATGGGAGACTTTGATAACTGAACCATCTTTTGTCCTGCATGGTCCTACAAAATTCGTAATTTCTGTTGTGATAACTTTGTCTTTCAGGTCATGGAGAAAGGCACAAGTAAATTAGGTATCCCTGACTTATTAATAAGAAAGATTTCAGTATTAATTATGTAAAGACTATTTTTATTAAATATACCATTATTATTTTTCCCAAACAAATTTGGAAATAAACTAAGTAAACTTCCTCAAACTCTGCACCCATCTATCTATTGCACGGTAACTCCAAAACCTGAACACTATAGAGCCAGATTTGGTAGAAGCAGCTGGCAAAAGTAAGATGGAATGCACAGATGGGTGGAACAAGCTGGAGGCTACAGATATGTATGTATGTATGTATGTATGTATGTATGTATGTATGTATGTATGTATATTATTTAGGTTTCTTCGGGTATTTTCCCACATCTTAATATTTGTGCTTTTTTTTAGCGACGTGTCGGCAGAATCTCATCTGCCATCCTTAGGCTTGTGTATTGGGTTCTTTTTAATCTTGTGTGTGATTAAAGATTGTGTGTGATTAAAGATTAAAAAGAACCCAACACACAAGCCTGAGGATGGCAGATGAGATTCTGCTGAAACATCGCTATAAAAAAAGCACAAATATTAAGACGTGGGAAACTACCCGAAGAAACCTAAATACCATACATATAAATACCCGCGAAAACATAAGAAAACATTATAGGATAGATAGATAGATAGATAGATAGATAGATAGATAGATAGATAGATAGACAAACAGACAGACAGACACACACATACACAGGGGTGGGGAGAGAGGGAGAGAGATCTCTAGTTGGGAAGTAGATTGGAATATTACTGAGTACTCCATTCTAAATGTTACTTTTTTCTGGTCACAAGATTCAGAGCAGAGCATACAAAGCTTTTCAATCCACACACCACATAATGGAATGTAATAGGATGGATTCCCAGGAGGAGTGGAGTGGAGTGGAGTGGAGTGGAGTGGAATGGAATGGAATGGAATGGAATAGAATGGAATGGAATAGAATAGAATAGAATAGAATAGGAATAGGAATAGGAATAGGAATAGGAATAGGAATAGGAATAGAATATAGAATAGAACAGAATTCTTTAATGGCCAAGTGTGATTGGACACGCAAGGTATTTGTCTTGGTGCAAATACTCTCAGTGTACATAAACAAAAAATACATTCGTCAAGAGTCAAGAATCATAAGGTACAACACTTAAAAATAGTCATAGGGTACAATAAGCAATCAAATCATACTAGGAAACAAAGTCAATATAAATTGTAAGAATACAAGCAACGAAGTTAGTCATACAGTCACAAGTGGGAGGGGATGGATGATAAGGAGTGATGAGAAGATTAATAGTAATAGTACTGCAGACTTTGTAAATAGCTGAACAGTGTTGAGGGAATTATTTGTTTTGTAGAGTGATGGCTTTTGGGAAAAAACTGTTCTTGTGTCTAGTTGTTCTGGTATGCTGTGCTCTATAGCGTCATTTTGAGGGAGTTTAAACAGTTTATGTCTGGGATGTGAGGGATCTCTAAATATTTTCACAGCCCTCTTTTTGACTCGTGCAGTATACAGGCCCTTCATGGGAGGCAGATTGGTAGTAATTGTTTTTTCTACAGTCCTAATTATCCTCTGAAGTCTGCGTCTGTCTTGTTGGGTTGCAGAACCAAACCAGTTACAGAGGTGCAGATGACAGACTCAATAATTCCTCTGTAGAACAGTCTACATTCCAGAGGAATAGACCAACTCAGTTCAGATAGTTTGTGTGAGAGAAAGAGGGCAAAGACAGCCTTTTTCTAACCATTCCCAAAGTAAACGTTCATGTAGGTAGTAGCCTGCCTTAGTTTGGCAAGAGGTGAGGAACAATAAAGACATTATTGGAAGAATCACTGTGTCTTTCTTGTTTTTGGCACCTGACACACCAACATATACAGATGTAACACAAGAAGAGAGCTGAAACACAAAAGTTCTCATCAAAAGGCAAGAACACAATACTGATCCCTCCTATAATGATGGCTAACCTTTTTGGGCTCCTGTGCTGAAAAGGTAATGCGTGCATCCCCCCATGCCCGCTGCGCTTGCGCACATGATATCCCATGAGTGTTGTGCATCTCTGCGCATGCACACACAATCCTCCATGTGCGCTGTGCGTCTCTGCACATGTGCATGCATCTCCCATGCCCCACGCATATGCACGCCAGATACTTGACAATCAGCTGTCAGGCGGGTGGTGCATGCGCAGTGGGGCTCTTCCGGGCGACCACTCGTGTGCCAGCAGAAGTGGCTCTGCGTGCCAATTCAGGCACACATGCCATAGGTTCTCCATCATGGTCCTATAACAATTGTTAGTAAAGTTTGGAAAAAATACAAGAATCAGGGTAATACCTTGTGCTAACTTTTCTAATTTTCTTTTTCCTTCCTTTGATCATTTCTTAAGCCTGTGATTGATAGAGCAAGGATCGTCTTGCCCTAAGATGTTCTGCAGTGGTGGGATTCAATTTTTTTTACTACTGGTTATGTGGGCAGTGGTGGGATTCAATTTTTTTTTACTACTGGTTCTGTGGGCATGGCTTGGTGGGCGTGGCAGGGGAAGGATATTGTAAAATCTCCAGTCAGAGGTGACATTTGCCGGTTCTCTGAACTACTCAAAATTTCTGCTATCGGTTCTCCAGAACTGGTCAGATCCTGCTGAATACCACTTCTGATGTTCTGTGAATCTTCTGTCTAAAAGAGTACACCCTCTTCAAATAAACAAATAAAAATGAAAGGAAAGCATGCAATTCTATTGGATTAGAAACAATAAAAAGGCAATATTTTGAAAGTTGTAATAATTACCACTTTAATGACATGCACAGCATTGTTTTCTACAGGAACATCAAGACAAGGGGAAGCTGTAAGATAAAATTAAGGCAGAGAAAGTTATGGAAGACTTGAGCCACTTCATCTAGAATTGAATTTCAACTCAACAAGATATGATGTAGTTATATTCATATTAAAAACTGGAAAAGGATTTTTCTTTAACAAGAGTTTGGCTATAAATGAAATAATGTAATTTTTCATTGCTTTCTTCATAATATGTGATAAAGCTCTATCATTAATATTATTCCTGTTTTTACAAGATTTAAAGTAGTATGCCAGGAAATCATCAGTTTGATTTCAATTTATTCAGTGAATGGATTAGAAAGGACTTGGAACTATAGGGTTCCCCAGGTACATAATTTAGGACAGCTTTTTCTAAGATGGATGTGATTAGATACATAGAGTTCACCTTCCAAAATTTCAACCAAAACTATGCTGGCTGGATAATTCTGGGAGTTGAACACCACAAATCGAAATGATTTTCAAGAAACCTTGATTCAGAATCCAGAACTCCTACATGTTAAGTTTTTTGAAGAGAAGTAAGTAGTAACTAGTTTCTCATCTCCATGTTGACTATATCCATATTTTCCTCTCCTTATTTCACAACAACAGGAAATAGATGTCTTCCAATGGGACCTTGAAATTCATCCCCAGACTAATTAGTCCTTTGCATAACTTCTGCCCCATGTTCATGAAAATATGGATAATGATATCCAATGAAGAAGCACTAGTTTGACATGATTTATGGTAGGCCCATTCCAAATTGATCTTCTCTAGATATCAGTTCAGTTTTACATCTTAGGACTCAACTACTATTAATTACAATCAAGTTATGACTGTCTTTCTACACAAACGTCTTCTAACCTGCATACAACTTCATACAATTTTTAAGTTCTGATCAAAATAATTTATAAACTTTGAATGAATATATTATTATAAATCATTAAAATCCAAATCAGAATACAAACTAATTGAAAGGGGAAGAAACTGGCTATCTTCGACCTACCTTGTTATTCTGTCATTTTTACCATATTCATTCGAAAAGATGATAGGTGTACTTGCAGGATATGACTGGGCATTTAATAATAACTTCTAGCTGTTCAAATTATATGTTTTAATCTTTTGTTTGTAGTTCTCTTCCATTTTATGCATGTACTTATAATGTATTTTATAATAAACCCAATACCATATAAACCTAAGATTTTCTTAACTTATGCAAACAAGTTTAATTAAAAAAATGCCCAATGCATCCATTTTATACAGAGTAAGACATCCTTTACAGCTAACCAAGCATTAACCACTGAAAGTGGTCTTGCTCTGTGATAAGAAAAAAAAAGTAAGATCCTCTGCCTGCACAGCATGAGTTCTGCCATTAAGCCATGGTTGTTTCCCATAGCTTTTGTTAGTTTCATATGCAAAAGTTAACATCAGAGCACACTTCTGGAGAATATTGCTTTTTTTTCTCCCCACACAATGATAACCTGGCACCATGGCACCCAGAAGTCCGACAAAGTAACTTGCTGGTTTTGCTTGCCAGCTGGAACCTACAAATTTCCATGTACAATAGTTTATTTGTGTAGCAATCATCTCCTGAAATAATGGAAAAAATGCCTGCAGTACATCTTGTGGAGTCAGTTTTGCAGGCAAAGTTTACACAGAGGGAAGAGGAAAGCAGTGACTATTGGCAATTAAACAGAATTCCCAACTCTTGTCCACAGCTGATCTCATTGCCACTGCTGGAGCTCTGGCAACGAATACTCATTTTGCAAATATGGATAGCCTCAAGAAAGTGGAGGTTTGTGTGCGAGCATGCTGTAGTTATAAAAATTTGAAGAGTAATAATTTCCTATGGGCTTTACTTTTATGCTAACTTCACAATATCTACAATCTGTAGACATTCCAAGATCAGAAAGTACCAATTCTGGTGATTTTTGTTTTCAAAATTCTTTACTATTTTTGCAAAGTAACAGCTAGGAAGACAGGATTTATTTTTCTGCTTTCCTTCATTTTTTGTATCACCCTTCACTAGTCAGGTGCCCTCCAGATGTGTTAGAAAAACTTACAGAATTCCCATCTGATAAGCCAAGATGCATAAACTAAATGAATCTGAAAGTCCTCTTGTCAAGGAAATCTTATTTACATATTTCTCCTTTCCTAATTTTCCACTTCTACTCAAACCAGCAAAGTTAAATGGGCATGAAACTGTTTAGTACTCAAGCTGGAGACCAAGGAAACATCACTTTTAACAATTTTCAGTGTTGCAAAACCAAAGCAAGGCAAAAGTATTTATCTAAAATGGAATTATTTTAATCAAGGAAAGTAAAATATTTGCTAGCTTCTGCCTGGGTACTAATCCTAGTAAACTATCCAACTGGCATTTAAGGTATAAAATTCTTTAATCTTATAGATATACTCCTGGTGTCTTCCTCAAGTGCAAGTGAGAAAAATAACTATGTTGAAACCAATCCTGGACATGTTCCCCATCAATTCTCCACAATTCTCACCTCTGGAAGCAGGGTTTGTGTGGCAAAGTAGAACCAAAAAATAAATAATCAGTGGATTCTTTTGTACCATGAAATACAATTTTATATAAAGAAGTGTTTGAAAATTACCCACAATGGAAGAAATGGATAGTGAAGATCCTTGGATTTACTGAGATAGCCATTCCTTTAACTAGAAATACTATAGGACATTGTCAAAATTTAATGATGATTGAAAACCCCTTATTGACTCTTTACAAGAAAAAGAAAAAAATGTTATATGATTTTGAAGATTAGAATAAAAATAATATTGAGAAAATGTACAGAATGCTGTAATCATACAGAGATATTTTATATCTATACTTATAATGGCTGTAAAAGAAAATAAGTCACTTCTTTATTTTTTTTCTTTGATTTTTGCATTGTCTTTGCTCTTTCTCTTTTCTTTCTCTTTTCTCTCTTTTACTCTAAATATTAGTTCTTGCTTGTTTTCATTCTATATCACAAAATAATAAAATTAATAAGAATGAAATATTCAGAAAATATATGTTTTTATTTATTACAATATTTGGTTTGGAACAGCAATTAAAAAATAGCACAATTTGACTGACACTGAATCAGAAAAATGATGAGTCAATTTCATATTCAAATCAAGGATTCAAAGTTCCTTTATCAAGATATGATAAAGTACTTAAAAAAAACACCTTTCGGCTATTTGAGGTTGCAAACAAAACAGGGGACATGTCTAATTTCATGATTTATACGCAAAGGTTTTGGAAGGAGATCCTTTAATCCTAATTATTATTCAGCAAAGTATAGTTTTTCCTCCTTTTATAAAGTGGGTTCTTTTTATAAAGTATTAAATCTCTTTTGCAGGCAACATTCACATCTGAAGTGTCTAAGAAGTCATAGTGGACTTCCAGAAAGCCTCCCCCCCCATCACAACAAAGGAGGGAGGACAAAGAACATATCCATTTCCTAGTTACATTGAGGCATGATTTCAAGTAGTAAGTTTCTCACACAAAATATTTTAATACTACATGTCTTACCTAGATAGACCAAGCCAAATCCTCCATAAGCAATCATAGGACCCAACCTCCATTTGTGTTTTTGGGTATCCGTCAATATTATTCCTTCTTGAAGAGGATCTGGGAGGTTGTTTTTTCTATGCTTTTGGGGAGGCATTATGCCTGAACAGAAGAAATAAAAGACAATTCTAGAAAAAGAACATGCTGTTTCTCCATAGACTTCTTATATTAGCTTTTTTAAAAAACAAAAAACAAAACAAAACCCATCATAATACAGATATCAGCAAGCTTAGCCTCTTTGTTTCACCTTAAAGTGATTCAGCTGAAGATTTAAGAATATAATTGAATAAGGCAGCTTTGGCCATAATAAAAATCATCTTGAGTTGTGAGAAATGCAAGGGATAGAATGTTGTAATAAATATATAATAGTGATATTTTGCCTTATCAGTTTCAACTGTTCAGGGTGAATATGCCCAGATATCTTTAGTAAATTATAACACTCTTCCTTTGTAAACTACAAGCATTTGGCTTGATTCTAGCAGTGATGTTTGGATGGATCTTCACTTGATACATTGGTAAGAATGTATCTGCCCCTACTTTTCACAGTGTACATATATCTAACTTTGTTTCTCATGAATAACAGGCAGTATTTTCTTCTTGAGACAAAGTCTGAAAACCCCTTAAAATAATTGAAACTGAGCATCATGCAATATTGCCCATATTTTTGGCAATATTATCAATTTATTATATTTCTTCAGCTGTCTTTTTGTACACAATTGCTTGCTATTATACTTTAGTAGTAACTACAGCATTTCATATAAAAACTTTTTTGATAGAATGCATGGTTGGTTTTAGTGCTCTAAACCCATATTGACTAGGCAGCCAAAAGTAGCATAATGTCAAGACTTAAAGTAAACTCAGAGCAAAAAGCATTTTTAATACCTTTATATGCTTGGATTCAAGAAGAAAAGGGATCAGTTAACACAGGAGTCTTCAAACTTGACAGCTTTAAGACTTGTGGACTTCAACTCCCAGAATTCCTCCTCCAGTCATGTTAGCTCAGAATCCTGGGAGTTGAAGTCCACAAGTCTTAAAACTTGCCAAGTTTGAAGACCCTTGAGTTAACAAAAAGTGAGGAGATACTTTCCTTCTACTTTCATTAATCCCACACTACAGTAACAGGGGAAGTTCAGATTCAAAGACTGGTATCAAAATCCCAAACCCAAGTTTTCAACCTTTTTTCTTAGGTGAACATTTTACTCTTTTCGTTAGTTATATTTTAACATCTGTTTTTTTTTAAAGGGGTTTTTCCTGCCATAGAAATAAGTACAAGAAAACCCACTTGCTTAATATCTGGGTGATAGCAATTGAAAATAAACTGATAAGACCAAGTTCACAAAAAGGTAATGGCAAATCAAAAATTCAAATTCTATAAAGCGAAACAACTCTGTGCTTCTTCTTTCATTCAAATCAGGTCAAGACAATATTTAAAAACAAAAACAAGATTAAAAGCATAGTTTTCCCAGGAATTCTAGCTTCTATGGTCCCAAGGCAATATGGTTATTGTTTCTGGAATTAACTTTTTATTAATATTTTTTCTATTATTTTATTATTATTTTTATTTTCCATATAAAACTAACTAAAGGCAACTGGGCCACCTAGACTAGCAATTACATAAGTGAGAACTGTGAGTACTCCATATCCACAGGGTATTTGAATAATGATTTATACTGTAGATAAGTTTGAAATTAAAAAATAAACAATACATTGTTATAAATTACTTGTATTTTATTACTTTTTCTTGTTTAAAACTAAATGTGCTTTGCCTCCAGGGATAAAATATAAATAAAAGATGTATTAATGTATGTACATATTCATATAGATCTCAATATTCAATATCTCAATATTCAACATCCCCATCTACCAAGAAAGAGACGGCAAACTGAAACATGCTATCTGCAAGAAGAGATGGCTTTTAAGTTTGAAGGATTCCCTGGAATTAACATATTAGTCAAGCTTTCCTTACAACTCTGTCCTCCATATGAGAGAATAGACTATGTGTATTCCCTACAGAGCATCCAAATTACAGGCGCCCTCCTATCAACTCCAACAAAAGCAGGACTGACACATACAGCAACTCGGTGGATGCCCCTTTCGCGAGCTATCTTTGTAGAGGGTACATGTATGATACGCTACTCCCAAGCAGCAGCCTTAAATAGAGAATTCATTCCCAGCTTTCCAGCATCTATAATAGTACATTCTCATATGAAGAAAAGTACCAAGAACTTTGGAATCACTCCTCGGGCTATATAGACTTCTAAGGAGGACGGAGGACTATTTGGGGACGGGACGCGTTAAAAACATTTAACGTATTTAAGAAACTTTATATGACCTCCCCACTCTCTCTCTCAGCGAGTCCGGGCGACTCACTTCCATTAAGCCTGAAAAGAGTGAGTAGCAGGCAAGACAGAATTAACTGAGTAGGTGACTAAGAAACCACAAATGGAGCAGCGATGACCATGGAGCTGCCCATAGGACAGCGGCCGGTTGCCCTTTTCCTTTGACTCTCGTTGTTCAACGACATTATTACCGTCGCGCCCAAAACTGCAAAAAGTCAAGCAAGGAGAGAATACCCGAAAAAGGGCCGAAGCTCTTCGCTTCGGAGACAGGAGAAGTTGAGGAAGGGCAGCTCACGCATTAATACTTCTAAAGCGAAGAACAGTCTTCCCCGACCCGCACAACTGCACAGAGACCCGTCTGCCTCCCCCCCACCCCGCAATTCCCTTGGGGAAAGAGCCGTATCGCCACCTACCACCCTGGAGAAGCAAGGCCACGCGCCCCGCCTCTCCCGCACGCGCTCGGCGTTACTTCCCTTTCTTCGCCCTGAGGTTCTTCTGACGCTGCTCAATCCCAAAACAAGCCTTCGCGGCTGGCGGCCTATCAGAAGAAAGCGTACACCGCCAGCCGCTGTTCTGCGCCCAGTCACGTGACGCGGCACTGAAAGTTACTAGTCGGTGAATAAACTAACGGCCCGTGTGAAATCGAGAGGCCGGTCAGCGAGGCGATTAATTGCGCTTGTCCTCTAGCCCAAGGGTAGGGAAACTTGGCTCTTTTATCACTTATGGACTTCAACTCCCAGAATTCCTGAGTGAGCCATAAAAGGTTGCTCATCCCTGGCCTACTGGTTTTTCAGTTGTGGGGGAAATCGATTTTTGATTTGATGGGACTGTTTAATATACAAATGTAGGACATACGTCCTACATTTGTATATTAAACAGTCCCATTTAACTCCTACATTTGTACTATTGCTTTAAATAATAATTATTAAATAATTATTAAATTATCACATTAAACAAGAGGAAAACCTATGCACCAATTCCACCCACGCTTTTTACAATTTTGTAAACAACAAACTAAAAGACTCAAGGTCCGTACCACCCCTGATATGACCTCATGGTAAAGACTGCAACGACGACACCATTAAAGCCAACATCTTTAACACATTCTTTGGCTCAGTATTTGTAAACAGCCCAGTATCGATCATGCCCAATATTTCCTAGCCAAACCACAGACAACTACAATGATCTAATACATATCGATTTTACAGAAGACAATGTTGAAAAAGCACTATGCAATCTAAAACCATCTCTATCTATTGGACCGGATGGAATATGTGCCTATTTCTTAAAAAAGGTATCCACTGCCATAGCCAAACCTCTAAGCATAATCTTTGAAAAATCTTTCAGGACCAGCTACCTGCCTAACCTATGATCACAAGCCACGGTCATCCCCATCTTCAAAAAGGGAGACCCCAGCCTAGTTGAAAATTACAGACCAATCTCCTTATGCTGTAAAGTCATGGAATCAATTATTAACCAATCCATTATCCTCCACTTAGAGACAAACAACCTCCTCTCCAATAAACAATTTGGTTTCAGGAAAAAAAACTATCCTGTAATCTGCAACTCTTACACTGCAAAAACATATGGACTACACAACTTGATCAGGGCAAAGCAATAGATGCAATCTACATAGACTTCTGTAAAGCCTTTGATTCAGTGGTACATGACAAACTACTAAAACTAAAATGTTATGGTATCTCTGGACAACTGTATAACTGGATAGAAGCATTCCTGTCAAACAGACAACAAATGGTCAAAACTGGGAGTGTCCTATCAAATTCTGTACCTGTCAATAGTGGTGTCCCCAAGGCAGGGGGGGTCTAGGACCAACTCGCTTCATACTCTACATAAATGACCTCTGTGATCATATTAAGAGCAACTGCATTCTTTTCGCTGATGATGTAAAGCTGTTCAATACCACAGACAATACTGCTACCCTTCAAAAAGATCTTGACTATGTATCAGAATAGTCAAACAAATGGCAACTTCAAATCTCAACAAATAAATGCTCTGTCTTACATATTGGCAAAAAAAAAATCAGAAAATAAAATACAAGCTGAATAGTCAAGATCTTGTTGATGATCCAAGCTCTGTAAAGGACCTTGGAATACTCATCTCTAATGATCTAAGTGCTAGAGCCCACTGTAACTACATAGCCAAAAAGGCATTAAGAGTTGTTAACCTAATCCTTCATAGCTTTTTCTCTGGTAATATCACACTACTGGTAATATCACCAATACTCGAATACAGCTCATCAATCTGGAACCCACATTACGTATCTGATATTAGCACAGTTGAGAAAGTCCAGAAATATTTCACAAGAAGAGTTCTCCACTCCTCTATTCATTGTAGAATACCTTATGCCACCAGACTTGAAATTCTAGACCTAGAAAACCTTGAATTACGCCATCTTCAGTATGATCTAAGTATGGAATATAAAATCATACATTGCAATGACTTACCTGTCAATGAATAGTTCAGCTTCAACCATAATAATGCAAGAGCAAACAATAGATACAAACTCAAAGTTAACTGCACCAAACTTGATTGCAGGAAATACGACTTCAGCAACAGAGTGGTCAATGTCTGGAATACTCTACCTGACTCTGTAGTTTCTTCCCCAAACCCCAAAAACTTTAACCTTAGACTGCCTACTATTGACCTCACCCCTTTCCTAAGAGGTCTGTAGGGGGTGTGCATAAGCACACCAACATGCCTACGGTCCCTGTCCTATTGTTTCTTTTATTTTTCTTATAGGTATCCATTTCGTGTATTCATAACTATGTATATACTTATACCTATTATCTTGTAAGCAATTGACAAATCAAATAAATAAATAAAAATAAATAAAATAAAATAAACTTATTTGCTGCCCTGGGCAGCTCAGGACAATCAAATGACAGTCAATTTAATAAATCAAAGAGGGAAGTGCGAGATGGAGATGTGTCAAGGGGGCTACACAATCACTGTGTCAACTCATAAAATATTTCGATGGTCTTTTTAGAGTTGCCAACAGAAAGGGAGGGGGGAGCAGTGTGGCAGCTTGGAAACCAAAAGTGCATTCCATCAATAGTTTTCAAAGATAGTAACTAGGTGACTGAAGTTTCTGCCACACAGTATTCTAACTGAAGAGCATGATTGATGACTCTTGGTTATGGATGTGTCCCAATGGAGAATATGGATTATGATACACCCAGGGGGTGGGGGAAAACCAGGGTCAAGGGTGACAATGAATTATGTGTCTCAGAGTCAGCTACATCCCTGAAGGGCCAGACATTTTAACTCCCAATAAATCTTTTTGAAGTTTTGGAAGTTTGGCTTGAGACTCATGATTTAAATGGGGGTAACTGCCGGAATCCTGACACACTGGCCGAAAGCCTGGTTGAAGAACCAGGTCTTCCCAGCTCTTCTAACCAACAGCACAGTGGTAGCCATCTAGTTCTCAGGGTGGAAGAAAGCTTCACTTCAGAGAGTACTATAGAGAAGGCACTTTTCCAGGATCTTGATAGATGACATTGTTTAATTGACGCGACTTGAACAAGCCAATCCTGAAGGATAGAATTGGTGGGGTAGATGCTATAGGTAGGAGATGGATGATCCCTCAGATAACCAGGATCTATTCAGTTAGGGCTTTAAAGGTAGCAACCAGCATATGGGAGCAAAATGTCAACAGCGCACCTCAGAAATCAGAGGTGTTTCATAGGCATACCAAGGCATGCTCATCACTACTGGTTCCACTGCATTCTGGACCAGTTGAAGTTTCCAGGTAGCCATCAGGAGCAGCCCCCAATAGAGTATATTTCAGTAATCAAGCTTTGTGCTTCTCAACAGTTTTACTGCTCCTTGTCTATCGTAATGTTTTAATATGTGATTACTACATATACATTCTTTCTTCTAAGTTTTTATCCTGCAGCATGTGAAACTGAATCAGTTGCTGCCAGCCTGTGTATATGCTGCTTCACAGAGATTTTGTAGCATAAGAGAGATGTTTATTAGTTACCTTTCAGCCAGATTGACATCATAGAGTTGTAAAGATTAAAAATGAAGAATTATGAACATGGGATGTAAAATACTGTTCATTGGTGATCTTGATGACATTTTGTGGCCATCTTGGATTTTTGCAACCCAGAAAGTGTAGACTATTATATGGCAGCAAAAGGAGGATCCTAAATGTCCCTGTCATATTGTTTCTTTTATTTATTTTTATTTTTCTTATATGTATCCATGTATTCATAACTATGTTTTCACCTATACCTATTATCTTGTAAGCAATTGACAAAAATAAATAATAAAAATAAAATAAAATAAAATGAGTCTGACTGACAGGAGTCCACCTCCTTATAAAGTGATGGGGGCCTTCCCAGAAAACCAGCTTTCTCTGTGGTGGCCCAATCACTATAGAACAATCACTGGCAGTGGAAATAACTTTGACTTATTCTCTGGATTTGTTTACATAAGGTTGTGTTGTAAATTGCTAAGTATTTTTAAATGTTAAATGTAATTCTTATGGTAAATTTATGAAAGATAAATATGCATTGATCTGCTTACTTTTTGTTTCTTCCAAAGTCCATATATAGATATAAGATCCTGTTCCAGTTTAGGATTCTATATATGGATTTAGGAGTAGTGCCAGCAGAAAACATTATCCCCATCTACCCCCATACACATGCATTACAGTCATATTACAATCAACCCATGCAAGTTTAAAAAATGTTTTTAAATCTGGATCGGAGACCAGTTTTCAAGAAGTGAACAGCAGGAGGAGTTATAACCCTCATAACTTTGTAGAAGCCAGACCTAAAGTAGGATTGATATCCTGTATATGTACTCACAAATAAAGCAAAAGAAACAGGAAAATTATACATTTCATTGGAAATAAGTTGAAATTATTTTGTCTCAACTTAAATGAAACCAGCTGTTGTAGAATGGCATGTAAATTTGACAATCAAGCCAAATGTGGTTTTAGGTTGTGTAGAAGAGCAGGCCATTTAACTAAATTTCATACGCTTCTGCTTTCTTTCCCTCCCATTTTAGCCTTCCCAGCATCAGCACAGCAGAGTTGCTAATAAAACTGCAACTTTCACACATCTGTGGAAGGAGACGTGTGTTTCATAGCTCCACAGCTACCAGCAAAAAAAGAAAGAAAAGCCAAAGGAAAGAAAGCATTTTTCCTACAGAAGGAGTGGGCAGTCCACAAGAGAGGAAAAATATAGCAGTACAGCAAGACAAAGCACAATGTTAAAAAAGGTGGAGAGCTCTACATACTGGCTGGTAATAAAAAAGAAAATAAATCTCAGAGATAGGGAATTTAAGGCAGACATGCTTAAGAAAAAAAATGTCAATGCATACCAGTAATAGTATAGAACATAGTATATAGGTGATTGTAATAGGCAGTAGAGTAATATAATTAATTGAACATTAATAGTATAGAGAAGTATAATCA